TGTAGATTACAGAGTTGTCATTAAAAATCAGTCTTTAACATAAATAACCCACCCACTGCCTTATGTAATCCTTGAAGAATGACATGAACACCAGACTCATATGAGCCTGAGACTCTGGGGTTGTCCTGAACTGCCCACAGCTGATTGTCTAGACACTGTTGGAATTTAAATACTTTGTAGCTTTGACTTTTAGGAAATCATTAGCAAAGGCAAACATTACATCTTTATTAAGGAAGGGAAGACTGCAATAATGTTTTCTTTAATTGTCCTGCTACTCTTTAAAAGCCTCCCTTGCTTCAAATCCACTTAAAACACCTAGGTATAAAAGTAAGTTGGCATATTCTTTTGACGGCTGCAGTCACGGTGGCTTTGTCTGATTGCTGATTTCCTGTCATGTCTCAGATTCCCCAGGCTCCGAATGTCACTCCTCTGGCTCTTTATCACAGCACGCCCACGACCTTACCATGCCCTTCCAGATTGGTGCTTAAATATGAGCCTTCCTCCCTGGAGACCACTGATAAGCTAATGGTTGTGGAATTGCTTACCATTTCGTTAGCCTGTCTGTCACCAAAAATAAAAGAAGACGCTACTGTTTGTGTTTGGGTTGGTGCGTCGAAAAGAGGCTGGAGTATTGTCTGCTAAAGCTGATTGGACTCTGAAGGTGGTTGATTAACACAGAATACCGACTGTTATAATGGGAGCATGTTTGAAGACCTCTTGATTTTTCAAAGAATTGTCATGCCGAGATTTTGTTTTTAACGCATGCTGTGCAATCACTTTAAACTAACAATTCACCTCAGTTTACCTCGAGAAGGACATCGCCTAATCTGGATCAGACAGTTATTATTGCGGACACATTTACGAGTTGGTCATGCATTCCACTGGGTTTCTAGGGTTCAGGAACAATAAAGGCAGGAAATGGAAGTAGCAGCATCAAAATTGGTAAATGTTAAAAATAAAGCAGCAGTGAAGAGGCTTGAGATGTGATGAAAAGATGTTTTCAAAAGTGGGATAATAATGATTTGTTATTGTAAATACAGAAAACTCTTAAATGTTAGTATTGGCCTGGTCAGCTGGTTCAGTCTCTTAGCCTGTTTGTTTTGCCTCCTCCACTGATTGTTGAAGAATTCTTGAGTCACAAAACTACAATGTGAACCAGAAGGAAAAGATTATAAGCCAATAAAGTTATTGTTGTGCTTTTTCTCATGAACATTTTTGTTTGGATTTTCAATTGTTGCATGGGATGGATGAGAATAAAATTTTTTTATAAACACTAATCTCCTAACTCCAGGAGTCCAGTGGGTTGTGTCATCATCTACAAACTGCAAAACATATTTGCACATCAAGAAACAGCCCTTTTGGACTTTTGCTGTAAGACTGTATAGGACTGATCCTAATATGATTTGGCATTCTAAAGACTGTATTAGGAGTTTCAAATGTCATATGCTTTTGCAACTCGCTCAAATTCTTGCTTGCCAAAGATTGAACCAAAAGTGCAAACATTGTCTTATTGTTATTGTTTATTGATAGGATCCCCATTAGTGCAGACAAACTGACGCTATTCTTCCTCGGGTCTGAATAAGATTGTCATTTGATTGATGAGCTGGTTAGAAGATGCCAAAATATCAACAAAATACTGCATATCAAGATGTTTGCCTTCAGAATGTATTATATTTGTGTTGATAAACCTCCTTTTGGTAATGATGCTTGCTATCAGTAATGTAACCCCTTCCTCTTATTTAGTCCAATATCACCAATAGAACAATCTCCCCTCTACATGTGACAGGACTATTGGTCATACCTGGCTTGACTTGGATGCCTCCCACTGCTCTTGTGCTTGGCCCATAGCACACAGTGCTCTGCTGTCCTTCACACATCAGCCAGAGACAGACTGTATACCTGTGCCCACATGAGCCCCCACACCTGCTCAGGCTGCTCAGACTGCCCAGCTCTGTAATGGCCGTCCTGTGGGCTGACAGATTGCTGCTGACCCCTGATAGAACTGCACACTATTCCCCCATCAGTCATCCTCTCGCTCACAATTCTATTTTTCCTCTGTTCCAGTCTGGACTGAACAGCGCAATATAAGAAAGCATGCAATATGCAATAACTGAGGATTGGTATAAACACATAACTGATGATGTCTAGATTCCATTTTAGGAAGTGCACATGAAATTTAAAGAGAAATTTCGGCTTTACTCATTTACCTGGTCAAACCTGAGGTCAACTGATGAAGCAATCAAATATGAATGATACAGTTGCCTACATAATGTACTCTATTCTAGCCTTCCCTCTTTAAAAGGCCTATATTACACTATTTTTTGTTCTATATTATGATTACCTCATTACAAACAGACCTGGAGTTGTCTTTTGTTTCATTCATTACATGTTTAACACACAGACCCTACATATTTAGACTGAGTTTTTCTCTCAAACTGAAAACAAACTATTCCACATTGTGATGTCATGTGGCAATATAGGAAGTGCTCCACATTTGGATAATTTCTGTCCTGGAATTGCCAATCTAAAGGTAAAAGGTAGCTGCCAACTTGAAAACTACTGCTTCATGACATCACAGGGTGGAGTAGAGTAGTTTGAGTTTGGAGATGTAGACACACAAATAATAAAGGGTTACTCAAACATGTGTGAATGATACAAAACATAACTCCAGGTATGTTTTTGATGAGGTAACATTATAACATGGCTTAAACCTAACCAATCAATTTAGCATAATATACATTTTTAAAAGATCAAATGTCTGTGTACACTTGCTCTGAGTACTGAAGTGCTACTATTACATATCATATCACTTATATTTAATTAATTAAACATTAAATTTAATGTGTTAATCATAATGGAAATCCCTTTCTGGCATGTCTGCTTTTCTATACCCTCCTCCTGATCCACCTCCATATGTCCAGACTCTGTGTGCAAATCAATGTCAAGATGGAACATTTTCTGAGCTGCTTGTCTTCCACTTGAGTTTAGCTGAAGTGGAAAATTACCTCAGATTACAGCACTTTAAAGTTGCCCTATACAAAACACTTGGAGGACAGTTGGAGACGACTTTGACACCCGATCAGTAGAATGCGCGCGCTCTTTTCAGGGAGGAGAGATGCATCGGCAGGTCGGTACACAGTGATTAACTCGGGTTTGCGCTACAGTAAATAAATGTGTATCTCGTAGAGGCAAAAGGACAGCTGGATCGATAGTATCAATAATGTCTACAGAACAGCCCCTTCTGTGGCCTCTGCTGCTGCATCGTAATGATACACGGATATGCTCCACTATTCATCTGAATCTACATCTTCTCAAAATTCAAATAGGAATGGTGCCAGTGACCTCCCACAGTTTCAAAGTTACACTATACTCTGGTGACTTGAGCTACTTAAGATGTAAGTATGTAGGTAGGAAAATGTGCTGCAAATCATCATGCGGTAAAGTCAGCTAAACTTGTCGTATAGTGATCATAGCTAAATGTTGTATTCTTTCATCCTCTGATTAAAATGGAAACAATCAAATGAAGTTTACTCAGTATTGCAATCTTTTGGGTGTTGGTAATTGATTTATTTTCCATCCATTCCTAAAGTACACATGATACCCTGGTTGTTTCTCTATAGTTTTATAATGTGTTGGAAATTTCTTTGCTTTGTTTGAGTTGCTGTCCCTCATCAAACAACTATCCAGGCTAAAGACAACAACAACAAACCAATTTCCACAGAATAGCATGACAAATGAGCCCACTGTTTGTCAGGCTAAACGTCCACGAAGCACCATGTTGCATTTACGTCCTCCTATTTCCAGCTTCACTTTGAGCACTTTTTGACATCCCTTGTTTAATTACCCTTCTTTGGACTCCTCTTTGGCATTGGCCCCTCCCTTCCATGAAAGCACATATTTCCAGTGTGTACAGCACAGGCATGCGTGTCCGACAGCTCATTAAAAGTGTATGGGAGCACTGCTGCTGTACTCCAGCTTCATCGCTGCACTTGTCACAGTTGAACCCAGTGGTGCCAGGTACTGAAGAGGGCACCCGGCCATTCAACTCTGCTCACATGCTTTAGAATCTACTGTACTCACATGCCCACCCACAGCTCTTTGATTTGTATAGGCAATTAGGTTTTCAGCTCTGTAGTTAGGGAAACGCATTGTAAAAGTATGCACCAATATTAACTGTGATTAATACTACAGCTATTACTACATATTTGCTAGTACCTCCAATGCTATGTATTGCTTCTCCTACTGTTATTACCATATGTACTATCAGCAGCACTAATAGCTTACTTCTGCAGTGCACTTACCATCATTAGGGATGTAACAATAACTGAAATATCGTGATAACGTATCGTCAAAAGTCTCAATAATATTGTGGACTGTCAGAATATATCGAATCACAAGTTCCTTCGCTTAAATGTATTGTTTTATAGTAGCAACAGCTTATAAACATAGGGAACTACATATCCCATGATTCATTTCAGCTCAACAACATGAACAAATGTGTGTTTTACTTGAATTCTTGGGATTATGACAGAAATAATTCACACCAAAATCTTGTCAAAGTATTTTAAAAGCAAAAAAGTGTCCCATCTACAATTATATTAGCCTCTCCAAAATATCGCAATAAATATCGTACTGTGAGATGCATATCGTGATAATATCGTACCGAGAGATTTGGATAATGTTACAGCCCTTGCGGTCACTGGTACCTCCACCACTACTGCATTAGAAGACTACTATGTCAACATATATTTTTCAGTTGGCCAAGGAAAAGTGCTTATACTTAAAAAGCATACATTCTATAAAATGCGGGTGAATGTATAATGTGGGTTTTGTAAAATGCTAACATGACTCCTCACCTGTTTTCACTGCCTTGTGTTGTGTGTAGAATAAAACACCACATTAATTATCCTGAATGCAGAGCTGCTTGCTAACTCAGTGCTTTGTTCTCTCTCTCCCCCCTCCCTCTCTCTCTGTGTCCCACCTGTGGGCTCACCCTGTAGGAGAGCACCTGCGGATCTGTCCCCAGGGATACACGTGCTGCACCAGTGACATGGAGGACAACCTGGCCACACTGAGCCGCAGGGAGATGGAGGGGCTGCTGAAGGAGGCAGGGCGCGCTCTGCACACATCGCTCGCCGGACAGTACAAGGCGTTTGATGGTAGGTCTCATGGGACTCAAGTGTGGGACAGGACTTCTTTTGAAAGTAAATATCCCACTTTTACCCAAACTGTAGAAATATGACAATGTGGCTTTTTTCTTTTTTTTACATGTGTTCCAAACAGTAAACTACTCAAGGCAAAGGTCAAAATTCAGAAAAAGCATATTAGAAACTGCTACCAGGAAACCTAACATTATAACATGATTATATTCAACCCAAAAATATGCCAAGTTGAAAAATCTAACTTTACAAATAGCCAGATTTACCAAAGTGCTCCAGGATTTAAAAACAACAAAAGTGATTAACATGTCTGTGGATTTCATAAACAAATTTCAGAAGAAGTTATCACGAGTTATAGCCCCCATTGTGCTTTGAAATTCAGTATTTTTTGAGTCTATGCAAAAAAAAAAGACAATTGCAAGCATAAGTCCCCACCCACTGCTGAGCTGCATTCGTTCACTCTATTATTTTAGGACTGATTTGGCAGACACTGCATTTGTTGCTAGAGAAATAATCACATCTGAAATTATGTCTGCAAACAGAAAGTCTGAGAAAAGAACACAACATGATTTGATAATAGCATAATAATATGTTTTGGTTACAAACAAGATCATGTTATAGTAGTATAAATTGCATTTTTTTTGTTTTGTTTTGTCAGATACATAGAAATACATAACAGTTTTAACTAAGAGCCAGAGACATAGCCCCTTTAGTCAACAAATCAATGCACAGGTCTTTTGTCAGCCAAGAATTTCTTTAGTTGACTACATCCCTAGTCTTCTGAGAGTTTCACGAAGTCATTACAATTTGGTTTTATTTGGTTTTACTTTTCCGCTCAAATGTAATCTGATAAAAGCTCACTATTTTTCTTGTTAATAAAATGTTTCCCAACTTCTCCTTGTTCACTAGACAAGTCTTGGGCTCAGAGGTGCTTAAGGTGAGGGAGAGGACACAGAACAAAGTCAGGATGGATTTTCAGGCTGAGAGCAGCGGCACGGCGAGCCCATTATTTGTGTGTAATGATCTGCTCCAGTTAATAGAAGCTTGTTCTTCTGTTCCCACCGGCCGATCACTGACAATGCATTTGTCAGCGGGCACGGTGATCGGGGCTAGTTAGGCTGACCTTTTCACATCAGTGATTAGTGACATTTGTTTACTCTTCTTCACTACACGCTCCAGCTTTTTTAGAGTCCCTTCTTTTCGCACAAGCCACTTTCTCCAAATAATGATTGTGCTGAAAAAGTCACTCAAACAAACACATAAAGCTGTCCAAGAGACCCACATCTCTCCAGCAGAGATTTGTCCGTCCTCGATTTGTTGAGCTGTTGTATTCTTTTGAAAGACTCCCCTGTTAGAATGGCTGTAACGGTAAACGCTTACGAGCACTCAAGCACCACTCAAGCTTTTGTTACAAACACTGATGCGTGCACCAAAACACTTGTGTGGGTCACTGCGTTTCTGTTTGCCATATACATGCCAACATACATAAAAGCTGACCTCAACCAAGGCACCAGTCTGTTGCAATAGGGGAGTAGTTCCTGACAGTCACTATGTTTTTTATGTACAGAGAATTTAGCTCCAAGCAACCAAATTCAGATTGTTGTTGCCCCAAAACCTGTGAGACCACTCTTCCCAGTTTACATGCACTTTAAAGTTCTCATGATTTAGCATTAGCACTAATACTTTGCAGCCATACTCATAAAAAACTGCTATCACACATAAAACCACACTTTTGGCATACACATTAAGCATATGTTATAAGTTGTAGCAGTCTGCAGCACCAATGGACACAGTGAAGCTCTGGTAGGTTTTACTTTCACTTTAACATAACGGACCAAGACAGTGACACAGATGTGTTATTGGGAGTGGTTTCAGCTGAACTAGGCCAGTTATCCAGTCTTTCTGGCATGCAATCTAATGTTGTTAGTGACTCAAACTTACAGCAAAGGGTAATTACACTGAGATTTCAGTGAGATAGAGGGGAAATCATTGCAATATTCCACAATATACTTACAACTAAACACGTAATATTTGTTTTCCAAAAATATACAGCTCATATGTTTTACTAAGTTTTATCATGTTGCCCTACTTTGAGTTTGTATTTCCCTGAAGTCTGCGTGATAGTGTAACCCTAAAGAACCTTGGATGTAGCACAGCCTAGCAATGAACTTTGTCAGTGGGGGTTTGTGGTCCAAAATTTGTTGTTGACTACACCCTCACAAGAGGAAGAATAGGCTGGGCTTAAATGGACCACGGTAACCATTGGCACCTCCGTTAGAATAGGCTATTTCCACTGAAGACATCCTGCTATTAGCCTGCGTACTGTGGCTGTGATGGTTAGCACATGTTTGACCAAACAAGGTTACCTTATCTTTTAAAGCTCTAATGTTATGCCAAAATGATTTGCCATACTGTAGATGGATCATTCAAAACACTTCTAGAGTTGTTAGGACTTCTTCCTTTCGAGAGCTCCAAAAGCTTGAGCATATTACTTCCTGTATTGCGCTGAGCCAATTCGATCAGTGACCAGATTTAGCTTAGATGATCTTTTATTGGTCTGCAACAGAGCGGAGTCATGCTGCCAGGTCATGCACATCTGGCTGCATTTAGCAGGGTGTGGGCAATAGCTGGCTCCATGTGGCTAAATGCAGGGTGTCACTGCTCCAGCTCCGGCAGCCCAGGCCTTTATAGTTTCAGGAATCTGGGAGAAGACCCAACCAGACCACAGATTAGAGGACCTGAGTTCACATACAGCTGCACCGCTGCATGTGTACAAGCTATACAGTGAATAATGCATTGTATGTACAGGCCAATGTCTACAATGTAATTATGGCTCATTGTAAACCAAAGTCCATCCACCTAAACAAAGTAAACAAAGAGATGTGCTTATTTAGGCTTGTTCTCTGGATTGTTATTTCAAATCAATATAAAATGGTATTGTGATGAAAATGCTTTGTTCACGTTTTATTTACACAATTTATCCATAAGTACTGACAAAAGAAGTATTGTTCTCTTTTTGCAATACTTGGCATTGACCTGCCTGCGGCATACTCTAATTTATAGTGCGCGTTACTAGTTTATTTAGAGATTTAGTTGATGTGTAATGCTTTTTGAACAATAAGTAACAGTAAAATGTGTGTGTATTTGAGTCAGATAATGTACTTTGAAGAACCTGTGTGTTGTTAAAATGTTGTGTTTTCATATTTGTGTGTTTATTTAATTTGTTGTAGAGTGTATTTGGTGAAGGTTACTGCCGTAGTTGTATTTGCTTTGACTAATCTGTTTTTATATAAAGAATGGAGACAGATGGAATGATAAAGCACACCAAGGACAAAGTGATAAGCACAAATGGTGTCCAAAACAGAAAGTTGGGAGAGCCGAGTGCAGATGAAGCGGATAGGGCGAGAGGACAGGCAGAGTGATGGAGCTAGGCTGTCGGGTGGCAGGGGCAGCCAGGTGCGAGAGGCAGACAGGGGCAGAGTCTTGGCAGGTACTCGCGTGCGTGTTTGTGATGGGGACGTCTCTGGCATCTGGGCTCTCCCTCTGCACTGCTGTCTCACACGGCTTAAGACGTAGTTCATTTGGATAGACCTGAGACTTCACTGCAATCAATAACAAGACTTCATTTGTCCAGGCTTTCTTCTGACTTGATGAACTTGAAAGGGCAAATGAGCAGATTAGTTTAAGCCTAATGCTATCTCTATGGACATTTAAGACAACAATAGAGCAACTTTTACGATAGAGCTGGGTGATAGGGCAAAAAAATCTTTTAGTTTTATTAACTCATTAAAACCAAATAACATTGTTTTGAAAATGAGACTTGTTGTTTAACCCGTTCAATAGCCAATGTTTTCTTCTTATAACGTCCAACTTCTGCTCCAAACCACATGATTACAGACACTGGATAGGCTGCAGACCTTTCCATTATACAGACTCAAGAATATCATTGACAATTTGAAATGAATGAATGGATCACTCAAATTTAAGCATAACATACTTTTTGCTTGGATTTGCATTCCCGGTTCTGTTATGTCCATCTCTGATCAGTCGTCATCGTTACATAGATCATGTGGTAAATGGTGATCAGTCGTCCTAGATACAGTTACTGCAGTAGTCATATTGTTTTGCCTGGTCGAGAGCTTAACAACCAAGGAAAAACAAATTTGGGAAATCTGTTAAATGGCTGAATACTGCTCCCTTGGTTTATAAAGTCTGATTTGTCTTCCCCATGTCAGCGTTCTCATGCATGTTTAACACTGGTTAGTTTAGCGTTGCCAGATTTTAACTTGAGGGTATTTAAACATACCAGAAATGATGAAATCTTGGCTTCGTCTCCTGATTATCTAAGCAATCAAATGATGGTTCAAAACAACTCAAACCACATTCACATTCCGACTAGTTTGGGAGCGATGGGACTTTTATTGAACCAGAGTCCTGGACCATCACACGCTGCAGTCTCTCTTTGATTTACTGGCACAGAGAAAGAGCAGCTAGTCTTCCCATCCGTGGTTTTGGAGTGTAATCTCATTCGAAGTGGACTGGTCATAGCTGGCTCAAGAGAAAACCAGTTTCTCCTCGACCAGGCAGAGACTTTCTGTTTTATTCATTTACATTGAGCTCTGAATTTCTCCCCTGCATCTCCCATGTAACACAAGACAGCCGAGCCAAAACCGTGGTCTCGCATCAGCAGCAGAGTAGGAGCATGATTTAGTTTAAATACTGTAGGCACCGGTGTTATTTCTGTGTACAGGGTCCGTCCGGGTATGTACTTGTAAACAGCTTCGGTCTTTGTTCCTTTTGATGTTCAGACGCAGTTAAAGCTATTTGCAGTTAACATAAAAGGGCCAAATTAGAATTCATTTCAAGTTACGTAATTGCCAAGTCTAATCATTGCCATTTTACAGTATGCATTTACATGGCAATTTAGGCGGTCAAAAGCATCTATTCATACAACTGTGACTGCTACTTCTGTTACTTTTCAATCTACGTAATTTATCCTA